TTTCAAGCTTAACTTGACTTTTATGCTTTCCAAATGTCATAAAGGCAGAAGCGTGCAACTTTGGATGATATACTATAGCTTCAAATAGGACATTTTCTTATTAATCCAATATAAAAGGTACCTACAATTGGCAGTTTTAGAGCTAGATGGAACACAATTGATTAAACAAAATATAAAAATCATGAAAAGAAAATGACCCTTTTAGAAACTTTTGCAGTCAAGGGGTATACAATGTAAATCTGTAAACTATTTACCTGTGCTGACTGCTCGCGGTTGAAAAAACATTCAGACTAAGAATCTTGTAGAGAGCCAACATGAAAAAAATATATTGATCTCACTTCCCTGTTTTGGTCAATAACCGTTGAGGATCATTGTAAGAATACCCGTCATGGAGAACGATCGGTAGCCATGGAATTGCTATATGGATATCTGCCTCTGATGATTAGTCTTTTTCTGATATTGTTCCGTAAGGCTCCTTCAAAGAATACTGTTGATTGAACTCTCTTTAGCTGGCCTTACATGACTATTTTGCATTAGAGGAACAACCGGCTGTGGACGAGAACGGATCTCTGCACGGGGAAATACGAACACAACTCAGATCCTCGTTTGCTTTGTAGAAAAGAGGTTCCTGTACATAGAACAACATATAACACTGCGAAGCTCTCACAATTCCTTCATCAACCTCGGATACCCAAGCATCATCACATTTGTACCACTGGTTCTTTTGTCGCAGATAAGTCACGTAATGACCTGATTCCAGCATTCCTGAGTGAGCAATCACAGAAAAAATCTTGTATTCTGCACAACTATCAGAGTTTTCATATTCGAAAGCGAAGATTCTATTTCCAAATCTGTTTCTAGTAATGGAGGACGACAAATATGGGGTCATGTCCAATGAGAAAGGGAACTGCAAATATTGATCAATTTTCCTCGACATTTTTCTGACTAAAGAGTGCTCAACTCTCTTTATATGTAAACACAGCACCAATGGGAGCCTTCTAATAGAAAGTTGCTTTGATGAGTCACGTAGTTCTTGACAATTCTGGCAATGGAGTTTCTGATCAGAACCTAACTTCTCTGCTCTGGTAAACAAATTCAAACAACCTGAAAGAGTAGAAACACCCGTCTTCTCATCTGCTTTAATGGGGTTTGTTAGCTACATTGGATGGAGACATGCTACTCGTGTCCAAGTTGAGTGAAATATCAACACAAGGATCATAAGTTGTCGAAGTAAATCCGCAGGAGATACAACTGACATCTGATCTCAACAACCCGGAGAATGCCCTATGAGCAATACATTGGCAGTCTCCATCATCTGTGTAAAAGAATTAACAATTTCATGAGTGAAATAGAACTACAACAATGTGACAAAACTTCATTTCTTTCAAACCCAGATTACATCCAGATCATCAATTCAAGAAACATCGCTACCATTCCAAATAAATTTCTAAAATTCTTAAGTTACCCTTGATAGCTTTTGTAAAAAAATGAGACTACATATCAGTTCTAATTGTTTCCTGCCTCTTCAACATTATCACAACGATATCAAAATCTGAAGCTACCTCTAAAAATTAATCAAATTTTGTATTCTGCCTATATGGTTGGTGTCTTACAATGCATATACCAGAAGTAAAATTGTATTTACGGTCACATATTAACAGCATATGAGATAGAGAACCATTACCACCTTTTGATAATGTAATATTGCACATACGATGTGAAATTGATGAAAGCAAACATCATATCAGCATCTTATTACCTTTGCTAGAGTTCAGCATTTTGCTTTCCTTCTCATGAATCACGTCCAAGACCGAAATGAAGAACTCATGAGCATCCTGCTCCTCATAACTAGATAAAATCAATGAATGCTGCCACCAGCTTCAAAAACAACAACAAAAATCCATCATTAAAGCAATCGATCCATATTTAGACATTTTGCAACCCAAGAAAGGGAGGACGAAATTGAAGATTACTCAAACGAAATCTCAACAAACCAAAACATTGTCATTTTCGTTTATAATATGAAGAATTTGATCTAAGACTGACTAATCTTTACAATACCTGAAAAGGCCTAAACAATATCGAACCAAACTTTCGGTCTAATTAAAATTTCAATCAAACAACCAAAGCAGACTCATTTCATTTCACGTTATGCTTGTTCCAATGGATATGTGGAGCTTCTAATGTCATAAAATTTTCACACTTTTTCTTTTAGTTTCAATCAAGAGGCTGAAAGTTGATTACAGACACAAGCATATTTATTAATAAACACCACTTTCCAGATCTCAAGTAAATCAAAACATTGTGCTAAAGGCAGAAAATTATTAATTTCATACCTATAAAGAAACTGAGCTGGGCTATACGGGTCCGATCACCGGAAAACATAGCCAAAGAAAGGGCATCGATATCGCAAAGCAAGCAGACCTTTTCACCAGATCTTTTCCTGCATTGAACACTGTTGTGCCGATCACTGAGAAAGTAGTTCCTCAAAGGAGGGCGTGAAGCAAAGCCCGCAACACAGAATTCATGAAACAAGTACTCCCCAGATTGTTCAATCCCCTCAATCCCAATGGATAACACGATTTCGCTCTCCGATCTCTCATCAAAATCATCAGCTTTGATTTCTTCAAATCTAATCCTATCCCTGAATCTAACCTCTTTCTCTTGCTTGATCTCTCCCAACAAACCTCGAAACCATTGTTTTTACCGCCAGGCAAGTCTTTGACTTGTTTAGACACAACTACTTTATCAAATCAGGATCATAGACCTGATCACGACATAAACAACAATAAAGCTCCGATCTTTCCATGTCAATAGCTACCTCATGGCCCTTCTCAGATTGGGTATGCAAAAGAATGTGGCTTGAACAAGAGATTGAAGAGCAAATCAAACAAATGTAAAGTCTACCTTGACTTTCATTACAGAAACTGCATCTAGGTATTTTAGTGTTGTGTTTAACAACTCTAGCTCTTCCATTAGGGGTGGTTTTGAGGCAATTTTGGAGGGAATCATAGCCATCGAAGCCACGTCTGAGCTTGTAATCAGCTAGGTGTTTGCAGGGTTTGGGGTTAGTGTACAAAGAGTTTCTAGCACACATGCTGAAACTGATTGAAAGTAGCTTCGAATTGAGATGTGAAGCTGAGATTTTATGAAAGCAAAAGTGTAAAAATCTATGAACCGGTAATAATAATACACTATGATCTATATATTGAAAAAGAGAAGAAATTGATTTTCCAGGAAAATTATCCAACTAAAAGAAGAAAATCAGATGAGATTTGGAAAATTTGCAGCGGAAAAATCAATGGGTCTGAACTTTAATTTCTTGTTTGTTGGGTTATTGAAAAGATTCAGTGAAAATGAGAGCGGAAAAGACGTATGCAATTCTGGAAAGGTACTTTGAGGATTTATTATTTCATGTTCTGAGTATTTGTATTTTATTGATGAGCAATGACTAATTGACGATGACTATTGTTTTTCTTTTTCCAGAACCGACTACACTTGTGTGCTTTGATTTATGTTTTTTTTTGTACATTTTAATTCATTTAAATAAATTTGTAATCTAATAAATAAAATAAAATAAAATAAAATGAAATGAAAATGGTGATAAAAATAAAATATTATTGAATATTACTATACTATATCATATGAAATTAGAAAAAGGACGGCTTTCAATATTTTTTTATATAATTATGAATATATGATTCTCTAACTAATTAGTTCCGATCGAATATTATATAAACTTTTTGTTAAGTGATCTATTCAATGTAATTTGTTCTATTCGTATATTTAAATTTTTAACTATAAACTTTGTATGAAGAATCTAACACCTATCATACTAAAATAATTAATAACTTTTTTGTCAAAATTATTTTATGGTTCGAAAAAATAATTTGGATTAGGAAATTCGTTCACATCTTATTTCGGTAGAAAAAAATAAAGATCCCCTTAAAAAATCTTTATTCTCACCGTAGGGTTCCTTATAGAGATTGACATTTGACTTGAATTTGATGGTTTTCGACTTGATTTAATTAATTTTTTTTAATTAGATCGAGTTGGTTTAAGTTTTTTTAAAGGGTAAGTTGAGTCAGATCAGGATAAGATTTATGATGAAAAAAATATAGACCAATATTATATTATAATTACCCATTATATATTTAGAAATAAATGTAATAATACTCCCTCTATATTATTTTTCAATTAGATCATTATTTTATCTAATAAAAATAATTTTTTATCTATTCATTTGCACCAGGTCAGGCGAAAATTTTCACCTAAAATTTTGAATTAGGTTTTGAATAGGATGGAATCCTCTTAAATTTGAGTTAGAACAAATACATTTGGATGAGTTTACTTTCCCGTTCAACTTCGAGTGAGTTAAAAATTTTATTCGATCTAACCATAGCTCTCTAATTCCTCCTAATTTGACATCCATTTTTTTTCAGAAGTCTTTATATACGAGAATAATCTTTTTCAATAGTAACTCAACCCTTGTGGGATTTTCTTGGATAAATCTTTTTATTGTGTGCCTGAATATTATTCATTTGATATATTTGGTCATGAAAAATTCACTTCAACTATTCTCTTTTCTTTATGATCGTTTTTGGCCCGGACTCAATTGATTTTTTTTTAAATTTTAGTTTTATTAGGACACATAATGATGAAATCTTGAATTTAATGGTAACATTGTTTCTATCCCATAGACCAGAGAAAAAGGTAGTGTTCGTACAGATGTGAAATTTGGTGGAACTAAATTGATCAATTTCAAAATAAAAAGAGAGATTAAGTTGATCAATTTCAAAATATAGGAACTAAATTGATATAGACCCTATAATAGAGGGACCAGGAAAGGTACTTTCACTATTTAAAGACATGGTGAACTGTAATCTTTGGAAGTTAACAATGGTTATATTGGTCCACGCTGTTAATGGCCCGTAGGTTGCAAATTAAAAGCGAAAAAAATTGTAATTAGCTTCATGACTAGGAGGCGGTAAATTTCATATCTTAAATTCAAAGGAAGAAAACCCTAATGAAAGGGAGAGAAAGGATGGATCATAATCGCAACAATGAGGAGTATAGCCATCATCAGGCAGCTGATAATTTGGTGAATTTGTTCACCAAAGCAAACCATGATCTTCTCGTAGTTCAGTACAAGCTTGAGAAGGAGTTTCAACAAATTTATCCCGATAATGTAAGCCACAATTTTCTAGAATTCCATTTTAGATTCCTCATCTCTTGATTTTGAATTGTACGGGGGTGTTGATTGCAGGCGAATCCTATGAAATTGGTGTCTCGAATAAAGAAGATGCAAGAAGAGTTATCGAGCTTGACCGACCAGTGCCGTGAGCTTCTATCGGCCAAACAGGTTTTTTCTTCTTCTTTTAATCAAATCTATCGAATTTCAGAGGTTGGGTTTGTTTTAAAAGTTTAAAAATTGAGAGAATGGTGATATTGGAAATTTACCTTTGTTTATTTGCTGAGTTCATTTTCAGGATTTGATTGATAAGGCTAGAACAGTTCTTGTTGGGAACAGAAATTTAGTCCAGCGTATGCAAGCATCAATGGGCATTCCCCTCGCAAGTGATTCTGATGATCCAGCATTCACTAATTTCAACCAGGTTTCCCTTATTCTTTTGAAATCGAACTCGCGTCTGTCTCGACATTGTTTTAGGGTTTAGGGCTTAGCCAACGTTTAGATCGATCGATTCCACTGCTAAATGATTTATGCACCAGTTGTTAAGGTTGTCTATTTTCCAAGTGGTGTCCATAGTCGTCGCACCACTTGTCAGCAAACAACCAACATTAAACTAAATGTGGTTATGTGGGCTCTGCTCAAGATTAAACGCCCATGCTTAGATGTTCCATGGGCAGTTTAAAACAAAGCCTACAGAAATTGAATCTTTTCGGTAGCACTTCATGTCTGAATTAGCACACACTTAAACCATAATTATGCTGCTTTCACACTTTGATGTTATGCCTCTTGCAGATCATCGATGAGTGGACGGTTCAAGTCAGATCAAGAATAGGTAAGTTTGTTGCTTTACCCAATAATGGCAGACACCGTTCTTCGTTCTCTTTTGTTAGGAAAAGGGTAGGGTATCTAGAAATATTCAAATATATATCATTGGTTCACTTTGTTGGTGCTCTAAAATGGTCCTAAGCAAACGCTTGCATTGGCAATTATGCCTCTGGTTTTGTCTCCCTTTAAGATTTGGCATCCTGCATCTAGATGGTACAGATTTAATCGGTTCTAAAAGATTCAGATGTAGTAGCTATTTGTCGCTTCCCATAGTGTGTTCTCTCGTCTCAATACTTGCGTATAAACATACTTGGCATAATGTCAAAAAAGGCCCCTAATGTTTGACTAAATAGTCATTTTGGTCCCAACTCTTTTTTATTTGGAGTATTTTGATCTCTAACGTTTCATTTTGGGCCAAAAAGGCTCCTCCATGGATGAAAACCATTAGTAAACAAACGGTTAACGCTCCAAAGTATGGGCCTTTTTGCCCTAAAATGAAATGGTGGAAGGCAAAATGCTTTCGGAAAAGAATAAGGATCAAAGTGACTTTAATTAGATGTTCATAAAATGAAAAGTTAATACCAAAATACTAAAACAAATTTAAGGATCAAAGTGATTATTTAATCAAACATTAGGCGTATTTTTTTTATATTATTCCAACATTCTTTGGGCTGCTGTATCTTAATAAACTTGTTGAATTTTTATTGGGTGTAGTACGTATGGAATTGTATGAGCTAGTTCCGCAGGTCTTAAGCAATTCATACGTTTGCATCGATATATTTCATTTTAACTCACATTTTATGCTGTTGATTCAGGAGAGGAGATGCAGGAATCGGAGCCGGAGGATATTAACAAATTACTATTCTCAGCAATTGTTCCGAGCAACTGAACAACTTTCCCTTTACTAGTCATCTCCAAGGATGATGAGTTGAGAAATCAGAGTGAGTTGAGGGTTCTACTCCAAAAATTTGCATGAAGGTACTCATTTCTTCTCTTTTGCCTAAACCCCGTTTAAAACCTTGTCTGCTGTCCGGCGACGACGGCATACGAGTCGATCTTTGCTTGTTGATTTACCGTTACTTTGAATCATTGGTTTAGTTCTCTCATCTTGTTATAAGTGCTTCTAATGATTAATTTTGTTGTCTATCTTATGCGTATTCGAATTTGATATTTGCCTTAGTAATGTAATGCATTTAATAATTTTTTTAATATATATATATATATATATATATATATAAAATAAATATCTATAAATTTATAATTATAATAATAGTTTTTTCCCAAAAAATTATTCTTATAATATTTGAAAATTTTACATTAAGCAACTTAAATGTGTCACATGATTCAAATAATTAAAATAATTGTTAATATTAATCATTAATAGTCTGTTAAAAGAGTCGATATGACAAGTGATGATATGTTATTAAAATTCTGCATGGATTGTTTGATATGGCAAGTGATTTTTCTTTAAGTATAAAATGATTTTTTATGATAATGTAACTTTTCTTTTTTATATTTCTAATTTCATATAAACTTTTTGCCTTAAGGTATCTGTTTATACAACTACGAGACGATGTTTGTATAAATTTACAAAAATAATTTTAAGAATTTTTTAAACGCTATTTTCAGGAAAAAACACCGACAAATGAAAACATACTATAAACATATACAAAAGATAAACAAAAATATTTATCTACCTAGAAATCATTTTCAATGCAAAAATAATTCAATATACCTCAATAAACAATATAATATATAGCTTAATTATTTAATATGAAATAATATTATTTTAATAAGTTTAATACATTCTCTGTTTAATTCATATTTTCTTATAAAATAATACACCAATGCATTAAATAATTTATTTTTAAATAAAATTAGAGTTAAATTAATATGATGGGCATGCAATAAGGATTGAATATGTTAGTATCTCAATCAAAATTTAGATACATCACGATTTTGACAAAATTGTTAGTTTAATGTTCAAAATAGAAGTGTACCCATAGTTCAGTGACCTAAAATAGAAGTTTCCCAATTTGTAAGGCATTTACTCGGTAATCCATGATGTGTGGATAGAAAAACACTCGCTAGATTTCCTCATTTCAACTTCTTTTTCGCATCTTCGCTCATTATCTCTCTCTTGAAGGAAACGAAACTTGTTTCTTATTTGTGATAACGACTACTTAGGATTAAATTGAATTGTTTTAACTTCTTTCTCATCCAACACAGATAAAAAAAAACCCTTTTCAAAATGCAAAGCCCTTCTGCTGTTACCCAATAATCGGGCCCTGCCTTCGATCTCGTCACTCAATTGGGTCACTTAGCATTCAACAAGAGTTTTCACAGCTTAAATTCTGATGGGTTTTATTCATTCAAGCCGAATCACGTATTTTTCTGGGTTCAGAGACTCTGTTTCTGACAAGAAGCGTGTTGTTACAGCTGCTGCTTCACTCAGTTTGGGTGCTCGAAACAGCGTTAGGAGAATCGTGAATGAGTTTAATAGAGCGATTAAGTTTCACTGTGATAGAATCCCAATTGGGTTTGCTTCGATTCGGGTTGGTTCAGAGGATAGCAATGGAGTGAGACAAGCGGTGATGGCGGGTTCTTGAGGTTGAAGATTTGCCTTTGAATGGGGTCGAAGCCGAGACCCCCAAAAAAGTTCTGATTTTGATGAGTGATACTGGTGGGGGTCATAGAGCCTCAGCTGAAGCTATTAAGGCTGCTTTTAACGAGGAATTTGGGGACGAATATCAGGCCAGTTTCCTTTTGTTTGGTAGCAAAGAAAATGCGGGCATTGGAAAAAGTTACAAATTAAGAAAATTTGCTTCTTTTATAACTACTTGCAGTGTTAGTTTTTGTTTGACCAACTGGACTACATGAAAGAACACAATTTTCAATTTTGTTTGCCTTCTATGTTTCTGCAATTTCTTGACAAATGGTAAAGGGTAGATTGAGTATTAGGTTGAGTTGAGTTAATATCTAGTTATATTTTATAATTTAAATTTTATTTGAATTTTTTGGAGTGAAATTTATGTAATTCGAGTTTATGTTTAAATTTAATATATTTATAATTTTATGGTACTATTTTTTTTATAAAAGTTTGAGGTCTCATTAAAAACTCCCTTCGTATTCGTCCACATATTAATAAGTTAATAAGTATGTTAACGAACATTGGAAGAAAGAAAAGAATACCTCATAGTTTATTAAATAGAACACCGAATACATATGAAAACACGAAATACCCTCATATAAGGATATATACTGTTATAAAAAACCAGAATTACCTAAAACTCTCACATCCTCAACCACAAAATCTCAGAAATAATCGCCCTATTTCTAAGTTACACCTCCATCAATAGCAAATAAAAAACGCAGAAAGACATAACACAAAGGAAAAACCTACACATGCGACCATTAAAACTAAATCAAAATCTCAAATGGAGAACCAAGATCTGAAGAAGTATCGACTTTGTCAGGGACCCAATAATTAGGTTTGAAGGAAGGCTCTGTTTAATGCACCGTGATTTTGAAGAAATTATCACCGACCTTCAACTCCAAGTATTCATCAATTCTCTCATGCGTCTTTGTTAGGATTTGAATTTTTGCCCGATCGAAAGATGAAGAAAACTGACAACTTTCGTCGATTGCTAATATTTTGCCCCACTTATCTGCAATGTTTTTGAAAGTTTTCCAATTCCAAGCGTGAAAAGAGACCCCTTTCAAATTAACCACACTCGACGACACTCCACCACCATACTCTCTGACCAAGCTTTGACTTTAGAAAACCACTTTGCAATCGTCTCTGATTTTTCGTTCTTCACACTTTTCAACGAAACAAAGTCTTCAAAAATCATTAGAACTAAATTTCCAGTAGCTCTCATTAGCAAGAATCCAGTGAGGCCTTTGGCTTGCATTTGACTAGCAAGATCACCAATTTTAATTTAAACAGTATTTTGTAATTATATATGATATGTGATATACATATATCATATAAAGTTGGGGAATTCAATTTGGACTTGAAAATCAATCTACTAATAATTAAAAAATTTTAGTTATTCGAATTCTATTTTATAACTCAAATCGAATTTAAAATTTTTCGAGTCAAATCAAATTTATGAAATTACAAGTCGAGTTGAAAAGTTCGATTTTTTCGCGTCGAGTCGAGTTTTACGTACCTATAGTAAAAGGATTAGTGGGAGCGTATTGTTTTTAGCTTACATTTGCTCTATATGTCAGGAGTGACAAATTGCAGGTGTTTGTTACAGATTTGTGGACCGTTCATACGCCCTGGCCATTTAATCAATTACCAAAGAGCTATAACTTCTTGGTCAAACATTGATTACTGTGGAGGTTAACGTATTATGGAACCGCTCCTCGGGTGATTTATCAATCGAATTTCGCTGCAACTTCAACATTCATAGCTAGGTGAGAATATATGTCGATATGCCTTTTTCTGTTTTCCTTTCATGTTTTGGTTAATTAAGTTTCTATCGATGGTTGTCTTAATCCTGTTGATCTGATGGGGGAAGATATGTGAATGAAACGGAATATCGTATGTCAGGCCTCGCAGCAAATTAGTTATATGATTTCCTTCTCCATTCCTCCAACGCTTATGTGTTTAATTTATTCTATGTTCTTGTGATAGAGAGGTTGCCAAAGGGTTGATGAAATACCAGCCTGACATTATTATTAGTGTACATCCTCTGATGCAACATGTTCCACTTCGTATTCTTAAGGCAAAGGGTCTATTGAACAAGATAGTCTTCACCACGGTGGTCACCTTTAAGAACTTGCCATCCGACATGGTTAGTTCTGCATCTTAGTTTCCATGCTTTGAAATCTGCTTATTCTTTGGTTATGTTCATTCTTGTTTTAGGTTTCATAAGCTTGTAACAAGATGCTATTGCCCAACAGATGATGTTGCAAAAAGGGCATTGAAAGCCGGGCTCCAACCATCCCAAATAAAGGTTTATGGCCTTCCAATACGACCCTCTTTTGTGAAGCCTGTTCGGCCAAAGGTCGGCTTACCTTTTAAACTAATTAGTTTATATGCTCATTTCTCTATGACAATTTTATTCTATGAAAACTATTTTCCCAAACTTTTGCACACAGGGAAAAAAGTCTTGATGCAACTAGTTTATTTGTATTCAGATTCTGCAATTTTTCCAGTTCTTGTTGCTGGTTTTCGTAACACCATTTGTTTGTTTCATGTGTTATAGCAATTATGTTTGGTTTCAATATACCCGTTGATATCTCTTTTCATCTTCCATTGTCTTATCGGATCAAACGATACTGACAATTTGATATTTTGACAACGTAGATTGAGCTTAGGAGAGAATTAGGAATGTATGAGTATCTTCCTGCAGTTTTGTTGATGGGAGGAGGGGAAGGAATGGGGCCCATCGAGGTTACTGCCCGTGCACTTGGAAATGCATTATACGATGAGAACCTTGGCGACCCATTAGGTCAAATCCTTGTCATTTGTGGCCATAACAAAAAAATTGCCAGCAAATTGCGTGCAATCGATTGGAAAATTCCCGTCCAGGTATCGACTTTTCTTTGATGTTTTAATCCGAAGTAACTTTGCACAGCTAAGTTTTCTATGTCTAATTCCTATCCAGATGCCTTTTAAAAGAACCATGAGAAGACTTGTGATAATCTGATTCTAAGTTCTGACAAAGTTCTATCGCAGTAAACATGCCGAACAATATTATTAACATTCACTATATTGAAACTTGCATGGTGTGCATTCCTCTATTCTCTTTGGGGGGAACGAAACAGAAGATTGTTCAAAGGAAACTCTAGAACTGTAGTTGAAATTCTTAAAGCTATCAAGGAGATGGTTGGCATTCAACTACGAGGCCGGAACATTAATAGACTAGATAGAATTAATATCACTCTTTGTAAGAATTGGAGTCTTGAATAACCTATAATCTGTTTTGTAATAGGTTCATGTTTTTTGTTGATTTTCCTTTGATGATTGTTTTGTAGCAGAACTCTGCTCATTTGGGTAATAAAATTTTAATTATCCAAAAAAAAAAAAGGTTTATGTAGGCAACTGATAGTTCAGGATTTTTTGCAAAATCTTATAGGTGAAGGGATTTGTCACCAAAATGTAGGAATGCATGGGTTCTTGCGACTGCATTATTACAAAGGTAACTTTCTAAATGAAAGACATAATAATATACGGATGCCTGTAATACATTTCTTGATATTGCATGATTTTTGCTTCAATAGGCTGGCCCTGGAACTATTGCTGAGGCTATGATAAGAGGTCTTCCCATAATTTTGAACGGTTTCATTGCCGGGCAGGTAAGTCGTCGTACTATCTTTACTAGGTTCTAGCTTTATTTTATAATTATATACTTACGATATTTCATCTTAATAGGAGTTTCCGTAATTTGTCGAACATAATAAAGTAATAAGTTGACCACATTATATAGCTAAACTAGGCTATAGGATCATGAAATCCAAATTTCCTTTTTTTTTCATGCACCCTATGGGTTTCACTTATCAGCTGCAAGTACTATCAGTCAAATAATTCCCAGTTTTTGGTTAAATAATACGGGATTACATGGTCGGTGTGAGTGGTGCAATAGAATATTGCAACGGGGTCTTTTAACTTTCGCCAAAGAAGTTAAAATCTTGGTTTCGGTTCTGCAGGAAGTCATGTCCCGTATGTGTTGGAAAATGGATGTGGGAAATTTTCAAAGTCACCAAAAGAGATAGCCGAGATCGTAAGACAGTGGTTTGGTCCCAAAGCGGATGAACTCAAGTCCATGTCGAAAAATGCTGAGGCTGGCTAGGCCTGATGCAGTGTTCAAGATTTTCCATGATCTCCATCAGCTGGTTAGACAGAAATTTTGTACCACAGTTTTCTTGTACAACTTGAGTCCCATTCGCAGAACAAATAAACAAATTTTCATGCGATTTCCCCCCATTTATTACAGCATCAATTACTGTGTTCTCTCAATTTCATTAGTTTGATACAATTTTCTGTGAATATTGTCACTTGTTTCTTATTACTACACTGCTTCAAGCCAAGACAAGCTGAGAGAGCATGAACATAGTAAAAGGAATTGTCTTAAGAACATTCATGGAGAGTTCTGCAGCAAATCTGCAAGCTACAAGCTATTTTGTGATTCATGGATCATTGATATTGTTTCTTTACTATGTCTATTAACTGTAAATTACGTCGATGTCATTGATATTGAATTCCAGCTTGAAGAATTCTCCAGTCTAGTGTTATTTTTCTGCAAAGGTAGGTGTTACATCTCCGGATCTTCTCTGTAAACTGCACCTTTGTAAGAAATCTTTTGCATATTAAGGTTTTTAGAGTTTTGGAAGTCTCCGGAATTTCATATCCTCCTTACTGTTATCAATCCCGTCATCGACTAAATCTGCTACATTGTCAGATCTATTCATCCTACAAGTACTCATTATTGCTTTAGACTCAACACTAGTAGCACCAATGTTACGTATATGAGCTGCCATGCAAAACCGAAGGAGGGCTCTCTCTCTCCTTAATTCAAAAGTTATTATTCATCATCTTTTTCAACTCATTAAAATAACTGATTGTACCTCTCCGTTCAAATTGAAAAGGATGAATTGCTTGCCATCGTCACAATCACAATTTGTTTGTCAACCGTAGGTAACCCATGATGTAGACAGAAATTGAAGAGTTTTGTTTGCCTTGGAAACCTTGCATATTAATGGCACATAGTGTCATTGAATCAAGTTACTGCCCTACACTGTCCCGATCGACGGAATACATCGAGCAGAGAGTTTCCGATGCTTGCCAAAAGAAGTTATGATCCAGGGAACTTAAGCATCAACAATGAAAATGACACAATTAAGAACCGGGTAGTCTTTGTTTTTCTCAATTTGTCTTTGTTGTTGGGGACGTTGTGCATTTAAGAGAGACTAAAACGAGAAAGAAGAAACTTGAAAATGATTTTAAATGCTTGCTTGGCCAAATGTAACTAAATGCGTGAGTTTTTACTCATCTACCGCCCTGACAGCGGCTCAAGGTCATTAATGCAGCTTTGAATAAGAGTAAATTCATGGTCCATGGCGACCAGTTCCCTGTTGAGCTCCTCTTACTCTAATTGCATCAGTAAATGGCAACCAGTGCATCAATGGAGACCAAAATTACTCTCCTCGTTGCTGTTTTGCTCGCTTTTGCTGCGTCGCCTTCGCGCGCTAGCCTCTCGTTCAACTTCTACGCTACATCGTGTCCCGCTGCGGAGTTCATCGTTAGCAACACGGTCAGATCAGCTTCCTCTTCTGATCCAACCATCCCTGGGAAACTACTGCGCCTGTTGTTCCACGACTGCTTCGTCGAGGTCAGCAATATCGGGTTAAAACACCTTATATCACCATGAATGTTGCATCTTGCATGTATTAGTTTTATCTGAATAATGGTTGCCATGAGTGTTCAGGGTTGTGATGCATCAGTACTATTACAAGGAAACGGAACCGAGCGAAGCGATCCGGCAAATACCTCACTCGGAGGATTCTCGGTTATCGATTCGGCTAAAAGGGAACTCGAAATCTTCTGCCCCGGAGCAGTTTCTTGTGCCGATATCGTTGCATTGGCTGCAAGAGATGCTGTTGTTATGGTAAAATCTCTAATCTTCTTCCTCCATTTCTGCATGCAATCTTCAGTCCGAGGGATTAAACATAATGATCATGGAACAGCCGGGCGGACCTGCATTTCCGATTCCGACTGGAAGAAGAGACGGAAGAATATCGAATGCTGCAAACGTCAGACCAAACATTGCAGATACAAGTTTCACCATGAATGAGATGATCAAACTCTTCAAATCTAAGGGCTTATCTCTAGACGACCTTGTAACTCTGTCAGGTATTTCATTCAAACAAAAGTCTTGAACAGGAGCGATCAAAACTCTACTCGATTTGAAAAATCAATTTTTTTTAATGTTGAGTTATTTTATTCAAGTCTATTCGAATTTTCAATTCGATTTTCAAGTTCGTTCGAATTGAGTTAGAATTTAAAACTTTCAACTCAACCAAAAAAATAAAAAAATTTCGTTGAATATTTTAATAGTTTTACTAGGGATGGGCATGGGTCAGGTTTCGGCTAACCCGACCCACAAATTTTACATCCTTCACCCGACCCAACTTTTTGAGATAAATTTCGAATCCGATCCGATCCGGAATAATAATAAAAATATTATTTTTATTCAATAAAAATAGTGATTTAATTGAAAAAAATAATATATAGAGGGGTATTATTGTAATTATTCCTAAATATATAAGGTAAATTTATATTTTTTTGGTCGGGTCTGGTATTTTTCACTCTAAACCCGAATCCGACCCAACATTAACACCACCTTTAAAAAACCCGACCCAAACCCGTCTTATTTAAAAACTCGACCCGATCGGGTCGGGTCGAATCGAAACTCATCTTATTCGGGTCTCATGTACATCCCTGAGTTATTTCTTTAATTCATCATTTATTTTAAGTTTATTTTTTATTAAATTTGAACCACGTGCTCTTAAATTATTGTTGAATACCTATATATCTTTAATTTCATTTTTATAGAGTATTTTTTTAGTTTATTCCTTCAACTTTGCATAATTTCTTTATTTTTTCAATATATCTTTCATTTTAAGAGTTTTTTTAATTTGAATCATATACTCCTAAATTATTGTAGAATATCTATGTATTTTCAATTCATCTTTTTTATAACAAATTTTTTTCCAGTTTCTCAATTTTGTATTATTTACTCATTTCCTTTAATTCATCTTTTATTTTAAGTCTATTTTAATTAAATTTGAACAGCATGTTCCTTTCTCATTGTAGAACCCACAAAAAAATTATCTTCAATTTTTTAAAATAATTTTATAAATATATTTTATAATTTTAGATTGTATTTGTATGAAAAAAATATGAAGAAATATATGTGTATCTTATATGGTTAAAGAATGTCGATAAATTAAAACCAATTCGTATCATAATATTGTAAATAATTATAATTAAAATTGTATATAAACTTGAATAAATTTCATAAATTTGACTTGAAATTTTTTCAAATAAAACTTGAGTTAAAAGATATGGCTCATCAATTTAATTTCTTTTATTTAACTCGACTCGATTGCTTTTACAGGTGCTCATACTATAGGATCAGCACATTGTAACGCATTCAGCGATCGATTTCGAATGAACTCAAAGGGAAAGCTAACCCTGATCGACAAATCACTAGACAGTAGCTATGCAGAAGATCTTATGAAGAAGTGTCCATTGGGTTCGAGCGCATCGAAAACCGTCGACAATGATCCGGAGACGTCGTTCGCATTCGATAATCAGTATTACAGCAATCTAGTGGCTCACAAGGGGTTGTTTCAGTCGGACTCTGTTCTTTTAGAGGATGGAAGAACCAGGGCGAAAGTAGAAGCTTTTGCAACTGATCAAGAAAGCTTTTTCCGGAGCTGGGGGGAGTCGTTCTTGAAGCTCACTGCCGTTAGAGTGAAAACGGACGATGAAGGGGAAATCCGACGGTCTTGTTCATTTGCTAATTAGAGGTATATATGTGTGTGTGTGATTCTTGTCTTCCTTGTGTAGCTTGAAATAATGTCTATGTTACATATGACTTACGGGTAAGATTTGTTTGTCTTTTCGTGTAGCTTGTATATTTCCAGATAAATCTAATGTAACTTGTTATTTTTATTATTATTAATCTGAGTAAGCACGATATAATATATATTCAAAGAGTACTCTCAATAACAATAATTATTTTACTACCGATGTTACTTATCAATGCTAATGTAACTAGTTCAATGAAATAGAAGATAGTTTTTATTTAGAGTTAATTGTATCACATATCTTAAAAAATATGACTGTTATTTTAAATTAATCCTTAAACTTTTAAATATTTCAATTACATCCCCAAACCATGACATTCATTCTAAATTGATCTTGAAACTTTTTTAATATTCCAATTCGATCTCAAACTATACATATTGACTAATCACATCCATTGTTAATAAAATCGTTAGGCCAAGTTATATTATTATATGCTTGGAAAAAAAATCTAGGTTAAACTAAGGTTGAAACTAATTATATATTTGGATGAATTCGAGAATGAAATTGAGATATTCAAAAGTTTAGGGATGAATTTAAAATAAAAATTATAATTTGGGGTCATATGATACAATTAACTTATTTTTTTAATAGTATGAGATGGTTTCAAAATCTATCTTAATCATTGATAATATATTTACACTCTGCTATAGATGTACTTACTCAAATCCAGAACATTTAAGAAGAATAAAGTCATTTGATGAGTTTAAATAGATAAAAATTTATATATAAATCTATAGTTATAATGTTATAACATCGTTATATATTTTTAAATTATTATTTCATTTTTAATTAATCCTTAAATCTTTAAATTTTATTTTCAAATTATAATTCTTATTTTAAATTGATATTTAAATATTTAAATTTCATTCTTAAATTTGGTCTTCATTTTTAAATATTATTTAGCTTAATAACAACGTAGTGACTAGCGAAGGCAGAAAGCATAGTTGGGGAAAGCGAAGGAAATGAGCCACAATCCGCAATCCAGCGATGGGAAGCACGATGACGACTCAACTCTCTCCGATTTCCTTGCCTCTCTCATGGATTACACTCCCACTGTACCATTTCTTTTTCTTCAATAATCAAATCCAACTTCGTTTTAAGCAGGAAATTCTTCTTCTTCTTAATATTTCTTACGATTTCTCAACCTCCTCTGTGGTTGATTCTTGGCAGATACCTGACGAACTGGTGGAACAGTACTTAGCCAAGAGTGGTTTTCAATGTCCCGATGTTCGATTGTAGGTGCTTCTCTCTACCCCCACTTTTTTTATTTTCATTTTATGGTCTTTGGATGCCTGTACGGAAATTTGTGGAAATTTGTTCCTTTTATTGGTGCTAGGGTTCGGAGAAATGTTTTAAATCTTTTATCCTACTTTAACCGACTAGCTCTGCCTATGGTTACTTATCTTTCTTTTAGTTGGTTCTAGGGTTCCCAAAAATTCAACCTTCTATAAGCTAGCTTGTCTATGTTTGAGTTCTTTTGCTTAGGGATGGGGTCTTGGGCAGGAGATTTTCTTTAATTCGAGCATTCTTTTACAGTCCATACTAGTAGGGCCGTAGACGAATCAAGTTGAGCTCGAGTATTGTTAAACTCACCTCGAAAAGTTCAAAGTTAAGCTCGTATTAAAAGCTTGTGACCTTAAAAGTGCAAGCTCGACACAAACTCTAAATCAAATGTTGAAGTTCGATATGGTTTGAAAAAAAACTTGAATCTAAAACATTCTTAGACTTAGCTTGATCGAAGCTTTAACTGGACTTCGGTTTAAGCTTGAACTAGAACTCATACCTGAAAAAAATCTTATATTATATTTTTTGTTAAAAATACAACATATAAACGTTACTATTATTAATAATTTAATTTAAAAAATCAAAATATTATTTTTTCGAGTTGATCGCAAGCTTTTCAAGTCCGGTATTAAGTAGTTTGCTTCAGCTCGTTAATAACTTGAGTTTCGTTTGCTCGAGTCGAGTCCATTTGATTAACGTGTTGACCGAATCGAACTTGAATAATTTGTATTATGTCTCGTCTTATTTATAACTCTACACAAGATGGATCGAGAGTCACATTGTCGATGTATTATTTCCTTTTTGTCTGATCCTGTTTGATTCTTGTTGGGCTTTTGCAGAATAAGGCTTGTTGCTGTTGCTACTCAGAAGTTTGTTGCCGAGGTTGCGAGTGATGCACTTCAGTATGACACCCAAAACATTTAAATTATATCCCTTTTCGTTCTTTAAACTATGAAGAATGGAAACTTCAAAATTTCTTGATGTTATATATCAATTTGAAGTAGGACACTTTGTGGAGATGGCCAAGTTCTAGTGTTCTTAATTTATGTGAATTCATCAAATATTTCTTTCTGTTTCGGTGCAAGGGGAATATGTTAAACAATTGAGTAACCTTTTGAATAGTTTACGTTTGGATTTATTCACATTTAACTCATTAAGTTTGCTTACAACGTTTTATTCGTAATGTAGGCATTGCAAGGCAAGGCAGGATGCAGTCGTCAAGGACAAAAGAGATAAGCAGCAAAGGGTGATTTCTTATGTTTGTTTTTAAAGATTCCTGATCTCTTATGGCTTGTCTGACTCTCTGTTGGAACAGGATAAGCGCCTAATCTTGACGATGGATGATCTCTCAAAGTCCTTGCGCGAGGTAGGCACTGAAAATTTATACGGCCTCTTTTTTCTGAATGCCAATGGTTATTTCTGATTTCCCTAGTTTGTAGTTGAGTTAATGGAATTTTAGCACATGTTAAGGGCATTAAGTTGTAGCCTCTATAACTAAATTGCTCATTCAAGGGAAATTTAAATGCCCATCAGATTACAGATCATTTTAGCACAGAGGTTTGAGCATTATATTTTATCAAATGTAGGAGCTGATTGTTCTATAACGTTATATCGTCGAAGTTACTGAGAGATGTGTGTTGTAGCTGCTTAGGCATACACAGAATATTCTAACTACTAAGTGGGGTATTTTCCTTGGAGAAATATAAGAGTATGTTCAGTCATTATGTATTTTGCTTGTGAACCCGTCGTTTATGTCTTCGATGAATAAGTGTCTTAATTTTGCTTAGCATTTTCATTTGTATTGGGAAATAATTGTTTTATGGTGTTTGAATGACCAGTATGGGGTGAATGTGAAGCACCAGGAGTATTTCGCTGATAGCCCATCGACCGGGATCGATCCGGCTTCTAGAGAGGAATAGTTGGAGTTCGACCATGTTTGTATTTAGTTGATAACTTTTTGAGATGCTATTACTTGTGCTACCATATGCTGTCCACTTTTCATCAACATAATATGTGTTGGCTGTTGAATATTAAGGATGAGTAATACATAGGAAAGTTTGTCCAGATTTGATTCTTATGAGCGACCAAGGAAAGTTATATTTGATTTGGTTTGTTTCTATAATTTATCTTTATAGTATCATTTGTGATGGTGGTGCTCAAATGGTGGTCCTCGCATCGAACATGTCGGACCTTCATCTCCCACCTCCATCCGATCATGGACTGAATCCATTGAACTTCATTTTATATATTTGATTTGGTTTCTTTCTATACAACAACAATAAAACCCTATTCACATATGTAATGGGGTAAGGGGGAGGTAGGTTAGTAGGTTGCCCCCAACACCCGGTTGAGAGCAGTTTCTGTGGAAGACCTCCGGCAATTCAGAAAATTAAAAAAATACAAATTAAATACAATGCATGTATAAATAAATAAATAAATACATAGTTGAACAATCTTCATATGCAGTCATTCATATGCGCGTCTGTAATGGGAAGTAATCCATGTAAATAAACTATGCCTAAAAATCTCTGCATATAGATAGAAAACGTAAGTCCTGGATTAATTTAAAAAGAGGAAATATGATGAGAAAGATACACGCACGTTAGCGTTAGCAAGCTACGAGAAGGAATAAAGTCAAAATGGATTAAAACCTAAATTAAGGCAATAGAAATTACAACAAAGACAATTAAAAAGAAGACAGGGATATTACATCCTATGGCTATTGACCCACACTACTCGGCTACCCTGGTCTTAAGTCTCCATACTTTCTTATCAGAGGTCATGTCCTCGGTAAGGGATATGTAACACCCCCAACCCGTATCCGACCCGGATACGAGTCCGAAGTGACACATTGACTTTTTAAACATTTATTCGTATAAAATAGTGGGTAATTTAAAAACTTTGATAACATTTAAATTATTTCCAAACGTTTACGACAGATATCAGAGTTCATACCATTTATATCTTTAGACTACATGCCAACTACACTCTGTAAACAGTACATACATTTTCTGATCTGACATTTGGTAAGGAAAACTGACCTGTCTTGCTCCGCATTACTCTTTACTCTTCTCGAAACCTACGTGTGAAACAATCACACGCTAAGTCGAAGACTTAGTGAGGCATAACGACTTATAATGCACTTCATAACATATATCAATACATGCATGTTCTGTTCTATCATGTTATACCAATTTCATGCATTCTTCGTATCATATAAGATCATATCAGATTAATTACAGTAAATACATACAGACACATAATTCATCATTAACAGTTTATCATGTAATCACATACTCTTATTGTTAACAATTTTCAATCAAACACTATACACACACAACATCATATGATTCACGTAACACATTTCAAACCACTTATAAACCCATCGTATACATATCACATTCAGTATGCTTGTTTAATCACTTTATTAGCCCATGTACACTAGTGAGAACTTAAGGTATGTGAGTACATTGAGGTTGTGCACACATATGCTGTCACCACAGCTCGATCAATGTCCCGAAGGACCAGTCCATAGATTCCGAAGAACCTAGGTAATCAGTCCATATGTCCCGAAGGACATAGGTAAACAGTCCATATGTTCCGAAGAACATAGGTAAACAGTCCATATGTTCCGAAGAACATAGGTAAACAGTCCATATGTTCCGAAGAACATAGGTAAACAGTCCATATGTTCCGAAGAACATAGGTAAACCCTCGACCCTTGGCATGCCAACTATACCCCTAGCTCTCATATCACATAACATGGGCATTATCATTTATAACAGTTCACATTACTTATTCATATTCTTTCTCTTATAACCACATATCTTTTCTTTTCAGTCACGTATCACATGTACGTGTAATCATTGATCTCATAACATATACTTGTTTTCACATATATATTTCATATCATTTCACATATACACTTTCATATCACAGGCCATATAAGCTCATATCTTTCTCATGCAGTCACATAGTTCAGTTTCACATATGTTCATATATATACATTACATAGCACATACTTCTCATAACATTACATTCAAAAGCATGTTAACACATATAATCATGCATACATACAATTCATGTCATTCATATACGTATAATCATATATTCATGCATTCTAACAGAGGAAAAAGACTTGTCGCAAGTCTTGTTTCCATTTAGCACCATAAACTAATTAATATGCACTCACCTGGCCTCACTAGTCAATTCCAATCTCTTATCTTTCCCTTTGATCGATCTTACTTGCCAAACGTTCCGGAATTCTTTATGCGTAGAATCTACATAAATGTACATTTCGGGACAATCATTAGATACCTACACCTTGTAATTGGATACTAGCAACTTAAACGAACTTATTAAACCAATATTAACATTTTTCTTTAGGGGGAATCGGTTCCCTACCATGGGGGTATCGATTCCCTCAAGACATTCTGGAATTCTGCCGTTTGAAGGGGTATCGGTTCCCCTTGAATGGGTACCGATTCCCCTTACCCAGAAATCATATTTTCAACCCGAAAATTCCTTCATTTTCACTCAAACACTTCATATATCATCTCCTTTTCATTCTTAACTCTAGTACACATACTTAAACCAATCTATATTCATTTATTTCATCTTAAACCTCAAAATCCTATCTTCCATATATAATTCAAAAATCATATCAAATTTTCTATATGTTCAAAATCAAATTCTATCATTCCAAATCTCTTAATTTAACCATTGACAAGTCAAATTTAACTTCAAATTCTACTTATCAATTCTTTTCCAAAGTTTCATATAAAAACTCCAAATCTTTAATCTCTCATAACCCCTCCATCATTTGTTTTTAAGATGATTTAAGCTTTCCTTAAGCTTATTTAATACCCAAAGAATCAAAACTAAGCTTAAAACTTAAGAATTAACCAACTGAAATTAACTTACCTTTTGTAGCTAGCCCCACGTGAAGAAGAGAAAGTAAGAAGAAGAAAGCTTCCAGATAGCTCTCTTCCCACGTTTTTCACTCTTATAAAAGGGGGAAGAATATCTTTTAAAGGAAAAGACCATACTACCCTTAATTTCCTTTAATAATTACCAAATAACCTTTAATATAAATTCAAATAATCATTGAATTCTTTCATTCTTATACTTTAGTCACCAAATTCTGAAACTCTACAATTTGGTCACTAACCCGGTATTGCGGATGTTACAGGATAAATCATTCAAATCAGATCTCAAGCAGTCTACCCACTTCCTCCTTGGTCGTCCTCTCCTTCTGGCACCGTTGACTGAAATTGACTCTACCCTCCTGACCGCATCCGACGGTTGTTGCCTAAGGACATGCCCAAACCACAGTAGTCTTCCCTCCCTTAATTTTTCAGATACATGCACCACCCCAAGGACATCCTAATAGCAGAGTTTGGTGTCATGTCCCACAGAGTCCTACCACACGTCCATCGAAGCATTCTCATTTCTACAGCCTCCATCCTCCTTAAGTGATCCTTCTTGATTGCCCAACATTCTGATCCATACAGTAGAGCTGGTCTTATTGTCATTCTATAAAATTTTTCCTTGAGTTTTAGAGGCACCTTCTTGTCACACAAAACCCAGTAGCAGCCCTCCACTTTAGCCATCCTGCCTTTATACGGTGTGTAACGTCATCATCTACACCCCCATCTTTATGTATCATAGACCCTAGGAACTTGAAACAATCATTTGAGGGGATAACGTGTCATTCGATGCATACTTCTACATCTTCATCGTTTTGGTTCCCACTGAAGTTTGAATATAAATACTCTGTCTTTTCAATATTGATCCTTAGACCCTTTTCTTCCAAAGCAGTCTTCCAGGTAGCAAGTCTTCTATTCAGCTCATTTTTTGTTTCAGCAATTAGGACAATGTCGCCAGCGAAAAGCATACACCATGGAATACCGTCTGGAGTCGCACAATAGATGTCATCCATAATCAAGGCAAAGATGTAAGGGCTAAGAGTCGACCCCTGGTGGAGTCCTATTTTCACCGGGAATGCCTCGATGTCGCCAACTGTAGTCCTGACGTATATAGTAGATCTAAAGTACATATCACGAATCGCCCGGATATAAGCAGTTGGGATCCGTCTCATTTCCAAGGTCTTCTAGATCGTATCGCGCGGTACGCTATCATACGCCTTCTCAAGGTCAATGAACGTCATGTGAAGATCTCTATTTTTCCCTATATTTCTCCATAAGCCGTCGAAGTAGATGAATCGCCTCCGTAGTAGACCTGCCTGGCATAAAGCCAAATTAGTTTTCCGAAATCTTAGTAACCTGTCTCAACCTAGCCTCTATCACTCTTTCCTATAGTTTCATGGTATGACTGAGTAGTTTAATACCTCTGTAGTTACCACAATGTTGGGGATCTCCTTTATTCTTATAGATTGGTATCACTGTAGACTCTCTCCACTCCTCTGGCATTTTGGCATTCTCTAAAATAATATTAAAGATGTTAGTCAACCACTGAACTCCCTCTTCTCCTAGGGTCAACCACACAGTGATAGGAATTTGATCTGGACCGACAACTTTGTCCCTCCCCATCTTTCTAAGGGCCATTTTGACTTCCTCAATCCCAATCCTACTTGTAGTGCAATCATTGGCAGTAGTATGATGGTCGGTTAACCCTTCTACGTTACTATCTCTGCAGGGAGAGGCACCGTTATTAAATAAGCCAAAGAAGTAACTACCCCAAACCCTCTTAATATCATGATCTTTCACTAAAAGAACACCATTGTTATCATTGAGAAACCTAATGCTACCTAGATCCTTTTTCATATTCTCCCTAGATTTTGCAAGCCTGAAGATGCCGTTTTGTCTTTCTTTGGTGTCTAATCTCTTGTACATTTCCTTGTATGCCTTATCCTTTGCTTTAGCCACTGTTTTCTTGGCTTCTCGCTTTGCCTCCTTGTATCTTTGTTTAGCTCTCGATCTTTCTTCGTCGTCATTGCATTGTAGCAATTCCTTGAAGCAAGTTTGCTTTGTCTTTACCTTAGTTTGGACTTCGTCGTTCCACCACCACGATTCTTTATGTTCCTTGGCCTTCCCTGTCGACAACCCAATAGTGTTTTTGCCCACATCTCTGATGGAATTTGCCATATTTTTCCATAACATATCTGCATTATTTGAGTTTGTAGTTCCAAAACTTGTATGAGACAAAACCTTACTCCTAAAGTCATCAGCTGTCGCTCCATGTAAGTTTTTCCAAAGGATCCCAGGTTTACTTAGTGTAACCCTCCTATGAGTGCTCTGCCCATGGCGTACGCGGAACACCAAAACTAACAATCTGTGTTGTGATGCACATGCCTCTTCAGGGAACAATTTACAGTCAATGTAAGCTCATCGATCCCGACTTCGAACCAGGATATAGTTGATTTGGGTACAATGTCCCCCGCTATGGAACGTAATCAAGTTCACATCTCTCTTGTTAAATAATGAGTTAGTGATAACTATATCGTGTGCAGTTGCAAAATCAAGCAACGTACGCCCCTCCTCGTTCCTACTACCAAAACCGAAACCCCCATGAACACCGACATACCCATCGATTTCACTACCTATATGGCCATTGAAGTCTCCCCCTATAAAAACTCTTTGGTCCTCAGGGATGCTCCTAAGTACATCATCTAACGAATCCCCGAAGCAACGTTTCTCACCCTCCCCTAAGCCAACGTGTAGGGCGTACACTAAATGGACATTCACCACTTCCTCTTCTATAATAACCTTAATCATCATGATCCTATCACGGTATCTACAAACTTCAACTACATTTTCCTTGAGTTTAGAGGATACCAAGATACCCACCCCATTTCTAGCGTTATCTACGCCTGAATACCACAACTTGTACCGTTACACTCTCTGGCGCGAGCCCCTTTCCACCTAGTCTCTTGAATACATGTAAAATCTATTTTCTTATTTCTTAGTACGTCGGTCAACTCCAGTAGCCTAACATTTAATGTGCCTACATTCAACGTACAAACTCCAAGTCTAGTCTCCTTGACATCACTATGTCGAGCCCGCCCCTATACGCCCTATGAAATCTAAAAGAAGGACATGACCTCAAGTAATCATCTTTAGCTGAAGCTTATGAGGAACTATGAAAAATGGATCCAAAGAAGATAGAAGATGCACCAATAAAACGCTAATGAATTAATGGGTACTAAGAAGCCTAGTTTGTTACTTAATAGGATTTTAATTTATAAAATACTATTTTTATTATTATTGCTAAAAGCCTATTGTTAAAAGGGACGGAAAAAGCTCTACGTAAACAAGTAGATATTTTCAAGCCTAAACAGTCCAGGTAAAAATTAGAAATGGCTTATTGCCACCAAAGAATCAAATCGAGAGCTCAAATCAGAAACAGAAGAAGTAAATTCCTGTTTTCTTGTACTGAAACTAGGCTAAAAACAAAATATCAACATAAACAAGTAGTATTTTCAAGATTAAACAGTAAAACTAAACGTAGGGAAAAAAACACTCAACTGCAGTTTTGTTCCTTCAACAAATTTAAATATAAGGGGAACGGGAAAAAGGAAGAACAATACCCAACAGCAAAAGCAAAGAAAAATTGATCCGTAAATCACAAAATGAAACACGCCCAGATCTTAATTTTGAAACGAGAAGTATAAGAATATGGGAAAGATAGAAAATCTGATGAAAAAGAACAATAACAACTTTTAAAGAGTGTCAAAGGAAAGATAGGACAAAGTGTCAAAGAAGAATCAGACCTATATTTCAAAGAAAAACTAATGATTCACTAAAGAAAAATACAGCTATAATAAGATCTGGAAAAATTGAAGAGAAACCTATGAAACAATTCTCAGGCTATTAATCAAGTTTCAATTCAACACCGAACAAACAACCGGAAAAAGGGGTGTTCAAGAGAAATTAAACCTAGATTGAAAAAAATTAAAATAAACCACAAAAGACGAATCAGCTGGGAAAAATAATATGCAATTTCTAATAATAATTAGAGAGAGTGAGATATGAAGCTCAACCTTGTGAAGCTGCGCAAATCACCCAAAAAATCAACAAATACTCACAAAAATCAGACTATAATTCATCTTTATAGTATCATTTGTGATGGTGGTGCTCAAATGGCGGTCCTCGCATCGAACATGTCGGACCTTCACCTCCCACCTCCCACCTCCATCCGATCATGGACTGAATCCATTGGACTTCATTTTTCATTGAATCTGAACTGCATTAACAATGGTTTTGTTGATTTTGTTTTTGTTTATAGTTTTGTTTGCAAGTAGCCAGTGGTCATTTCCTCTTATTAATATCTGTACAGATTTAAGTTCTTAAAGGAAACTTCACCTACTAACAACCGCATGATCAACAAAATTATGGTTTAAGACCATTATTATGAGCTTTTCTTTTCTCCTGCTAAGTTGAAGAATGGCTCAAGGCATGATGTCAACCCCAGCTAATGCCAAGATTAATACTCATGCCTACTACAAACCCTGATTTTGTTTTCTCATCAAAATCAATAGCGGATCTAGAAATATTTTTGAGAGTGAATACATTTATTAACAACATAAAATTCTTAATGGGGTGAGCACAAATAAAATTTCAGGTGAGTACAATCAATAAAATAAATAATTATCGAAGAAAATTCAGATTTCAAGTACTTAGACGTTGATCCGTCACCTGTCAAAATATAAATCAAGTTTGAGATGAAATATTTTAACTTCCAATGAATCTAATTTAAATCGAGTTAATTTGAGTTTTGAGACGTTAGGATCATTTTTAATTTAGATTGTTTGAGATTTTAATTATTTTAAATACAATTTATTTTAGAAATAAGTCATTTTATAAAAGACGTTAAAGAATGACCGTTTTCGACGACAATTAAAATTGGATGAAATTCTTTTTATTTTTGATGAAGAAAAAAGTAACATAAAAACAAAACAATTATTTCTTGACTTCTATGTCAGCACACATTAAAATCAAAACTGTCATATCATCATATCAAATTAAACGATTTAATACTTTATTTGAACCCAAAATTAAAATTCAATGCTTACATTGAAGCATTTTTAAATATTAAAATTGATATAAAACCTAAAGTTTAATGACTTAATATATAATTTAACCTAAAATATATATATATTTACTATTTCAACGTTCCTGATCCGAAACTCTACTTATAGAAGTGAACGTCTCAACTGTCAAGAGCTTCAAAAACGGCGTGGAAGTAGGCATAAGTAAAGAGCTTCTCCTTTAGCAATTCCTTCCATAAGGTATAAACACAAAATGCTCTCACGCCACTTCTGTTCTAGAAATCATTTCTTATTCTTTTAAAACAAAGGTTTTGCTAATTTTGTATGAATTTTGGGTTTTAGAGTGAGAGTAAATTCAATATGAAAATCACGAGTTGGTAAATAGTTTGATTGTTGAAAAAAAATCGATGAAGAAGAACCCTAGGATCGGCGTAGATGCATGTCGGTAGAACAACGTTGGATTCGAATTGGTTCATGCAATTCATATTCGCGCTTTTTGTTCTCGCTTTGGGGGCTCTTCATCTGATCAAGAACACGGCCTCGAAATACTTGGAAGTCGACGCCGGTTTCGATCGCGGACTAACAATGCCTTCCTTCCCCATCGACAACGATGTCTCTGCCTGCGCCGTTTGCTCCAATCCCGCCCCCAAGAAGTGTTCGCGTTGTAAATCTGTTCGTTATTGGTAGGTGACGCCTTTTTTTTTTCTTATCTAAAACATTTTGTTTCTTGCGATCCTCTTCTTCCTTGTTTGCATTTTGCGACGGTTATTGCTGTTTTTCAGTATTCTTACAAGCTGCATCCGCCATGGGTTATATAACCATATATTTAAATTATGGTTATGATCATATTTTAGGTTATATTGTATCTAATTATGGTAGTAGTAGTATTTTTTTTTAAATATCCACAACTTATTGTAAAATTTAATAATTTTAATTACTATAACGAGTTGTTACTTTTTTAATTTTTTTTATAATAGAACAATAATAATAATAATGGTCTGTTATTTAATTTTTTTAATTGTGTAACTGGTTATAATCGAAGTATTTTTTTTTTAACAAATTTTGTTTGGAAGGAAAAAAATTTTGCTTCCTAGATCTTAATTTAAGAAATTTTAATCATATATTCTAAAGATTATTGATATAACTGAAGTTTTCTTTTACTTTTGATATAACAAAATGACAATTATTACTCTATTCATCTTGTTATTTGTGTTCATTGTTGATTAAGTACTTAACCTCATGTCAAGTCATATAAAATGAAAAAATATATAATTATTCTAAAAAATTGATTGATAAATTTATTTTGATGGAACAATATGATAGAAGTTAAAAAAAATTGGAGTATAAATTTTATTATTTGTTAATTTTTTAATAGGATATTTTGATTGAGATAATTTTTTTAATAGGATATTTTGACTGAGATAATTTTAAAATTCAAAATGTATAAATTTAGTGGGACGAAGAGATAATTATTTTAATTTCTTTAAAACTCTCTGTACCCGTTTTACTGGTGATCTGATTTTTATTTTATTTTATTTACATCGAGGTAAGGTTAATTGCTTAGGATTGATATTATTTTTTCTGTTAATGTTCATATATGTTTAAGTTGCAAGTTTTATTATTTTTAATTGATTAAAAAAGTTATAATATTTATTTTTGTATTTTCTGATTTATAAGTTAAAAAATTGTTTTTGTATGAATTTTATATAAACAACAGATAATAAATTATTTGGTGTTTTCTGATTTATAAGTCAATTATACAACTTGCCAGCAGGTGCACTGGAAAGATGGGCATAAGACAAAGTGTAAAGTAATAAATTCAGCAGCAACTGCAAACACAAAACCATTTTCCAGAGTTGCTTTGGTTCCTGCCTGTGGAACCTCTAAGATGAGCAAGAAGCCAAGAAAGGTTAATGGTTTGAAACTTTTGAAAACCAATACAACAAGTAAATTTATAACTCATATATATATATATATATATATATATATATTTGCACAGGTTCTTTTCCCATATAATGAGTTTGTAAAACTTTTCAACTGGGAGAAACCAGGATTCCCTCCGTGTGGACTCTTAAATTGTGGGAATAGGTACCATGCTTGTATTTGTTTTTGTTAGACTGGATAAGTTTATGTTTCTTAATTTTGTCCTTTTTGGCGCAGTTGCTTTGCCAATGTAGTTCTGCAATGTCTTGTATCTACCCGGCCACTTGTTGCGTACTTGTTGGAGGAAGGGCATCGGAAAGAACGTAAAATTTGAAGCTAAAACTGCTACACTCAAGCTCCTTGAACATCTGACCTTTATTGTTATTCATGTTTTGCAGGCAGACGAAATGATTGGTGTTTTCTGTGTGAGCTTCAAACTCTAGTCCAAAGATCAAGCCAGACTCAGAATCCATTTTCACCAATTAATATTCTCTCACGCCTGCCTAATATTGGAGGTAATATTGGTTATGGAAAACAGGAGGATGCTCACGAATTCATGAGGTTAGCATCTCTCATATTTCATTGAATTTTCTTTTCATTGTTGATTTCTACATGTATTTGTAATTATTCATCGACTTTTATCTTTTTTTCAGGTTTGCGATTGATACAATGCAATCGGTCTGCCTTGATGAATTTGGTGGGGAAAAGTCTGTAGATCATAGCTCTCAAGAGACAACCCTTATTCAGCATATATACGGTGGTCATCTGCAGTCTCAGGTGATTATCCCATTTTTCCTTGGGTGAAGTACACAAATGGTCCCTCAACTATAGGGTGTTGCTTTGTTGAGTCTCTCGACTATTAAAATTTATAAAATGGTACATTGATTATAGGGTTTTGTTTTGTTGAATATCCTTTTACTATTAAAAGTTACAAAATGGTCACTTGATTGTTTGTATATTCCAAACTTGTCATTTTTCGTTAAAAACTTGACAATCGTTTGAGCTGACCGTTAACTTGCTGACTAAGATATGATAAAATCATATTTTAATAATGTTTATTAACACTATCGTTGCTTTCAAGTAATGGCTCGATGTCATAATGTTACAAGCATTGACTCAACGACATAATGTAAACGAAGAGTTGATCCACAAAATACAAGTCAAACGATTCTATAATCAGATTTTATCACATCTCGATCAACATGTTGACGTCAAGTTCAAACCGCCGCCAATTTTTTAAAGAAAATGATGAGTTTGGAACATATGAATGATCAGGTGACAATTTTGTAACTTTTAATAGTCGAATAACTCAACAAAGTAATGCCATATAATTTGATTGAGGGATCATTTTGTAACTTTTAATGGTTGGGAGAACCAACAAAGTAACATCCTATAGTTGGGGACCATTTGTGTACTTTACCCATTTTTCTACTGAACTTTGGTTATTCATCTGCGGATTCGGTTAGCAACCAATGTTCAGTAACATTGTGTTCTTCAATTTGCTTCTTATTGTGTTGCTCCTTTACTGAGTATTTATTCATAGTTTGACCATGTTACCATTAAAAGCTATTTCAGTTGATGTTACCTTAATCCTTTATATAAATCACATTGCTTGGCGTTTCTTTATGTATAAGTTTTGTACTCTGATTTCTATTGCTTTATCATCATGTTAAAACCTTGTAGGTGATTTGTTCAAATTGCAATAAGGTTTCAAATCAATATGAAAATATGATGGACTTAACTGTTGAAATTAATGGAGATACTTCATCACTGGAGGAATGCCTTGAACAATTCACCGTTAAAGAGTGGCTTCATGGGGAAAATATGTACAAATGTGATAGGTATGATTGCTTCTCCTCAACATCTATATAAAGTGTAGTTAGGGTGGTTTGCGTTGTCAATAGTTAGGAAAGATTTTGAATTAATATTACATTCTAATCACCACATACTATTAAAAAAAATCAGGACATATGTTTGTGTAAACTACAAGTTTAGTACCCCAAATATCACTTTTGTTCCATTTTGGTTACCAAGCTATTTTTTGTTTCAAAATCATATCTAACATTATATTTTGATTTCATTTTGGTCACCCCATTAAAAAATTAACGGTGCTGTTGGCATGTCATCATAAAGTAATGCCATGTCATCATTGATTTTTTTAAAAATGTCACATCAATAGTTCTGTTAATTTTTTAACGGTAGATGACCAAAATGTAACCAAAAATAATTGTTGGGTGACTAAAATGGAACAAAAGTAATAGTTGGGTACTAAGGTGTAGTTTATCCTATATGTTTGTACAGTACATTGATGTGCAACTGATTGGTTTAACTATGGTGTTTATTCTTTTTAGTTGCAATGACTATGTCAAGGCATGGAAGCGGCTTACTATGCGATGGGCTCCTAACATTCTTACAATTGCCTTAAAAAGATTTCAGGTCTAACCTACATCATGCAAGTGTTATTTGTTTGCTGTGCCAGTTGATGCTTGCTGTTGTTTCCATTTTCTGGTCTGAATCTATTGACAATCTTTGCAGAGCGGCCGGTTTGGAAAACTCAACAAAAGAGTCAGCTTTCCTGAGACATTAAATCTTACCAATTATATGAGTGAAGATGGAGATGATACCAATGTATACAAACTTTATGCAATTGTTGTCCATGTGGATATGCTGAATGCCTCCTTTTTTGGTCATTACATCTGCTATACCAAAGATTTCAGTGGAAACTGGTATAGAATTGATGACTGTAAGGTATTCACTCTCTCATGGCTTTAAACATCCACCTTCAATCATCATTACCAACTGGGGTTGACAGCAAGAAAGATTTTTTTCAATTTTAATCTCGTTTTTTTCTGCCTCGTTTCCCAGGTCATGAGAGTTGAACTCGAAGAGGTACTTTCTCAGGGATCGTATATGCTTTTGTATAGCAGGTAACTTTTTCTCCCCTCAATAAATTCTGGCACTTAAACCCAATTTTGCTCTTCCTTTCTCTTGTTCAAAGACTTGATTTACTTCGCAGCAATGGATAAGATTTGTAACCTGCAATTCGAATATCTAGAGTGCCTTAATTTTAGTTTCTTATTCTACAAGAATAAAACCCTAATTAATCTCTATTCAAGGGGGTTAAGAGAGAATATGTACTGATCATTTATGGATACTGACCCCTTGTTATTTTCAAAAAATATTATGGTATAGTAAACTGATTAAAGAGGGTATAGATGGTATGCATCCTTTGTGAGTTTATGGGACCAAGTAAGACGTGCATTTGAATAATCTTTGTTCTGCACTTTTCCCTGCATAAAGATAAGTACTTCGAGAGAAATTGCTATTGCTTTCGTTGTATGTGTAATCATCTTTGCAAGTGCTTTATAACAGTGACCATAAAGGGTTCCATTTGTGCAGGGTTTCCGTACACCCGTCGTGTCTTAGAACTTCAGGAACTCAGTGGAAGGATGAACAGAAATCGACGAAAGGTGCTGTTGAGCATTGTCTGAAGGAACAAATTCAGTCTGTACCTGTAAATGAGTCTGTTACTTCTGATCTTTCTCCACCCCTGTTATTGAATGGTAGTTTGCATTCAGAAATTCCTGGACTTAAAGTTGAGTCATCTACAGGAAAGAACACTAATGCCATTCATCAACATCAGGATGCTGATGTGGTTCAGTTATGGTCAAATTCATCTCTTTCAGAGAATCTTCCCTTCTGTAAAAACAATCTCTCATTCCAGAATGATTCACAAGCTATCAGAATAAACCGCAATGATTCGGATAAGGTTAATTATATAGCCGTGACAGAAAATCCGGAGCATATGAACAGGATTAGTACTCAGCCATGTTCTTCTCATAAGGAGGTTTGCAGGTTTGACAAACATCTGCTTGTTTCCGCCAGCTCTGAGTATATAAAAGCTCAAAAAGTGAAGCTGCTTGATGCTAAGCAATGTTCATCACTTCCGAAAGAAATAAAAACTTTCGAGTTAGATTCCGAAGACGACGTTGATTTGGCCATTTCCAAATCAACTCCATCTACCCAGGGGGATAACCAGCCATTACAACAGTAGTTTTCCATTATTCGGACTCGAATCGACCTTTTACCGGGAGGGGAATCAGGTCAAGAGAAGCTGAAACAGCTGATGGCCATTTTTTCTTTCTCGGGTAATTATTTTGTTCATACATATGTTTTTGGTCATCCCATGATTGAAAGAAATGGATGAAATGTCTAGTAATCAGATAACCTACTGTACCAAATTTTAGATGGCCCTTAACCATTATAGGTTTTTACACAGTTTGAAGAAAATGGTTAAAACTAGTAGTAGCTGCAGGTATTCGATTGCTAATAAATTTAAGCACAGGGCTTGCATTATTTGTTAGTTTTTGCAACACATTTAAGCTACTTAATAACACATTACCACACCTTTCATGACACAGTTGATATTTACAGACAAAACAACAGTTTGAAGAATATGGTTAACAATGAGATAAACCAAATCCCATATGTAAAACGAATCAAGTTTATAGAGGTTGAGGATGAACTGGTCTGGAGCACAGAAAAACTAATTTACAGTACAAGAGATTGTTGCGGAATACGGCTATCAGATATAGCAAAATCGCAACTGATAATTTGAGAAAATAAAAATGAAGATAAAGAAGACACAAAATTTACGTGGAAAACCCCTAAATAATATAGGACAAAAATCACGGGTAACGGTAGAAGAATTTCACTATGAGAAAATATGAATTACAACTTCTCTCGATCTACCAAGGAGAAAACAATGACAATTCTCTCTTGATAAAAAGGAGAAAACAACTCTCAAGAAACTCTCTAAATTCTCTAGTATTGGGAGAAAATTAGAATGATTTGGGATGATTTTGAAGTTAAATGAGTTAGTGCATTTATAGTTGAAGCTTAAAGACTAATCTTGTAAATACCCTAAAGTACAATGACTAAATTGTGATTTTACCATTGTCCAAATTCAACTAAAAACCAAGCTAACTTTCGATGCATTAATTTTGTTTGACTATTGATGCCAACTTGTTTGGCACTTTCGGTGATTGCATGCATTTTCAACAATCTCCCACTTGAAGATTTGATTGGGAGAAAACAACTCTAAAGAAACTCTCTAAATTCTCTATTGATAAATAGGAGAAAACAACTCTCAAGAAACTCTTTAAATTCTCTCTAGTATTGGAAGAAAGCTAGAATGCATTGGGATGATTTTGAAGCTAAATGAGCTAGGGTATTTATAGTTGAAGCTTAAGGATTAATTTGTAAATACCCTAAATTAAAATGACTAAATGTGAGATTGTACCATTTTCAAAATTCAACATTTTTGTTGTCATTTGCTGCCACTTGCACCGAAAGTGCATCTCTACTAAAATTGCATGTGCTTGCATGCTTTCCACCGAAATATTGTTTGGATTTTTCAACAATCTCCCACTTGAAGATTTGATTGGAACAATCATATCTTTACATCATTCTTTCTACCTTGTACCTTCATGTTGTTTACGTCTCTGACAGGCCACAAGAGGATCGACACCAAGTAAATTTATCAGCATTGATCGCCTTCGTCATGAAATCTGCTATGTTGTCTTTGGTATGGATCTTCTGCATATCTACCGGCCCTTCTTCCACCTTTTCACGAATGAAATGGTACTGAACTCGTATGTGTTTTTTTCTTGAAGGAAATGCTGGATTCCTTGCTAGATGTAAGGCGCTTTAACTGTCACAAAATAGAGAGACATACTCTTGATTGTGTCCAAGCTCCTTCAATAGCATCTTCAACCAAATTGCTTCTTTACTGGCTTGTGTAGTTGCTATATATTATGCTTCTGTTGTGAATGTAACCACAACTAACTGCAATTTTGAAACCCAGTTTACAACTTCACCAGTAATTTTGAATACATATCCTGTAATAGATTTACTTTTATCCAAATCCCCTGCATAATCAGAATCTACATACCCATTGATTAGTAAGTTTGATCCTCTGTAACATAATGCAACATTTGAGGTCCCTTTAATGTATCTCAGGATCCTCTTTACTATATTCCAATGCTCTTTGCCTGGATTCGCCGTGTATCGACTAACCACTCCCACTGCTTGTGCAATGTCTGGTCTTATGCATATCATAGCGAACATTAAACTTCCCACTGCCGATGCATACGACACTCGAGACATTTCCATCCTCTCTTCTTCACTGCTAGGACTCATACTAGAGGATAATTTGAAGTTAATAGAAAGAGGGGAAGAAATTGGCTTACAATATTGCATGTTGAATCGTGACAAGATCTTTTTCAAGTAATTATTTTGTGAAAGCCAAATCTTCCTATTACTTTTGTCTCGGTGAATTTGCATCCCTAGAATCTTGTTTGCTGATCCCAAGTCCTTCATTTCAAATTCCCTATCCAGTTGTGCCTTCAATTCTTCAATATGATCTTTGTTGGGTCTTGCAATCAACATGTCATCCACATACAACAGTAATATAACAAAATCATTATCACCAAACCTCTTGAAATAAGCACAAGGGTCTACATTAAGTCTGTTGTATCCAAGGAACATAATGAAGGAATCAAATCTCTTATACCAACACCTCAGCGCCTGCTTTAGACTGTACAAAGATTTGTTCAACCTGCAAACCAAGTTCTTCTTTTCGTTTTCTTCAAAATCTTTAGGCTGGAGCATGTAAATCTTTTCTTCAAGATTTTCATGAAGAAAAACTGTTTTAACATCTAGCTACTCTAGATGTAAGTTCAATGTAGCACACATTGCCAAGACTACTCAAATTGTTGTTAGTCGAACCACTGGAGAAAAGATTTCATTGAAATCAATACATTCTTTTTGAGCATATCCTTTAACCACCATTCTTGCATGATACCTCTCCACTTGATCATCACCATTTCGCTTGATTTTGAAGACCCATTTGTTACCAAACAGCTTCATTCCTTGTTGTAGTGGCACAAAGTCTCATGTATTATTTTTATGAAGGGCTTCAATTTCTTCTTGCATCGCCATCATCCATAGTAAAGCATCTGAGCTGTTTATTGCCTCCTAGAATGTTGATGGCTCACCGTCCTCTGTTAAAAGGCAATATGCAATATTACCTTATATAACATAATCTAAGTACCAATTGGGACGTCTTCTCACACGATTTAATTGGCGAGTTGTTGGAGCTTCAGAACTCTATGGTTCTTGCTCATCATATGCTGGTTCTGCTTCAGAAGAATCTCCTTGTTCAAACTCATTTTCCACATGTGTAACATCCGCAATAACGGGTTAGTGACTAAATTGTAAAGTTTTAGAATTTGGTGACTAAAGTAGAAGAATAAAATAGTTCAATGATTATTGGAAATATATAATGAAGGTTATTTAGTAATTATTAAAGGAAATAAAGGGTAAAATGGTCATTTAACCAGAAAGATTTTTATCTTTCTTTTAAGTTTATAAAACACGTGGAAAGGGTGAGAAGAAAAGAAAAGTCTGGAGCTTGGGTTATCTCATTCCTCTTCTCTTCCCGTAAGCTCCATGGCAAAGGTAAGTTTAATTTCAGTTGGTTAATTCTTGAGTTTTAAGCTTAGTTTTGATTCTTGGGGTGCTAAGAAAGATTATTTAGAGATTAAAGTAGGTTGAAACTTCAAAATGGATGAGTTATGAAGGATTAAATATGAAGAGTTTTTAAGTGAATTAGTGAAATAGAAGGAGTTAATAAATTTTTAAGTTGAATTTGACTTGTCAATGGTTAAATTAAGAGATATGAAGTGATAAAATAAGTTTTAAAACATGTTGAAAATCTGGTACGATTCTGGAAGTTAATAAAGAGGAGAGAATAATAAGGTTCAAGAAGAGGTAAATGAACATAAATGAGTTTAAACATGTGTATATGAGTTGAGAACATGAAAGGGGATGAAAGATGAAGCATTTGAGTTGAATTAAGTAGATTTTCGGGCTTAAAAATGAATTCTAGGCAATGTGCATTGATGCACATTCAATTTGCACCGATGCATCAAGGGTAAATTTCCAGAGACTGTTCAGTGTGTATCGATGCACAGGAAGTGCATCGATGCACCCATTAAAAATGAAAACGTCGAATGCAATTAGTGCATCGATGCATAAGGAGTGCATCGATGCACCCCCCTTAAAATGAAAACATCGAAGGTGATTGGTGTATCGATGCATGGGTAGTGCATCGATGCACATGTTAAAGAATGCATCGATGCACTGTAGAATGCATCGATGCACTTCAAGGGGAAATTGAAATATACATTTCTTTTGGTATAAGAAATGATAGATTAGAGTATATCAATTAAATATTGATATGTATCAATGTATGATTATGTAGATATTGAACATGAACAAGTTCTGGAACGAGTATCAAGTTAAGATTCGAAAAAAAAGAGGAAATCATAAAAAGGGGATTGAAACTTAGTGAGGCCAAGGTGAGTGCATATTATTAGGTTGTGCATATTATTATATGAAAATTAGACTTGTGATAAGTCTGTTTCCAATATTTTATGTTTGCATGAATAGAAGCATGATTAAGGATTGTATTATGTGTATATGCTTTGTTCATATTATATGTTATGAGGTGTGAATTTATATGATATGGGTTATATGAAAACAAAATATGTAACTATATATGAACCTTATGAGTTGTGTGAATATGTAAAATAAGTTATAAGGGCACGAATCATGTATAATGGTTAATGTTGTATGTGATAACCATAGAAAGAAAATAAGTTAAGTGATCATGAACATGTAAATATATGTTTAGATGAAGACATAATAGCAAAACATAAATTACATGATTATAAGAGATCAGACATGCGATAAGAGATAAGTGTTATGAATGTGTGAATATGAAATGACATATATAATAATGCCCATGTTATGTGTCATGAGAGCTAGGGGTATAGTTGGCATGCCAAGAGTCGAGGGTCTACGCGGTCCTTCGGGACATATATGTATTCCTTGGAACATGTGTGATGTCTTTTGAGACACATATTTGATCCTTTGTATATGTATATGATTCTTAAGGAATTTTCTACGTGGTCATTAGGGACATTTTAT